AGAATATAGCCAATATTTGAAATTCCTGGTGCTGTGTCATTTCTGGTTTTACTCAGAGCTCATATCCATTTCTCTAATGTAAGAAGGTCCGGTCCGTTAATTCTTTGTATATCATAGAATTAATTTCTTTTTTTGGCTTGTATTCTTCTTTCTATTCTGCTTTCATCTCTTTAAAATTTTGATTCCTTTTTCTAAATTGTTCTTCAAAGTGAAAGATTACTTGCTGTTTTACTCCTTCTTCATTATTAATCAACTCCAGATTGTGAACTCTGGAATTTTCCCCTACCAGAACTTTGTCAATCGTAATTTTGTTATATGGTCTATTTAACAGGCTTTGAAGCATTTTTTTTTTGTTTTTCTTTATCATACTAAATCTCAATTCTATTTTCTCATGAATTTCACTTTCTTTTTTCTTTCACTTTTTATTATTTGCTTTTTTTCTAAGAATTTTACCACAGTTTTTTAATTTCTCTAATTGAATTTGACTTTACAACTCTGATATTTGTATGATCTGTGTCTGGTGCAATTGATTTATTTTATCAATTTTCTTATTTAATCTTTTTCTCTCGTCAAAGTTAATCTTTGTAGAAGGGCTTTTTTTATTTCTTTTTTGTAGATAGTATAAGAACTTAATTTCTTTATAGATTTCTGACTTTGGAATTGACTTTTTTTTCTTGAACTTCAGTTTTTTAACATTAACCCAAGGTATGTGTTCTAAAGCTACACTCATTATTGCGCTACTAATATTATCTCATTTAATATTAATATCTGTAGCTGTAGTATGTGAGGTTTTCGCATTTCTGCCTTGATCTTTCGCAAAAAGAAGACACTCTATGCAGATACTGTATGCCTCCCAGTCTTTTGGTGAAGCCTTATGATATAGGAAAATCTTTCTAGTTGGTTTTTATTGATTTCTTCTACTAAGTTTTTCATATCCAAGTATTTTACTTAATTCTAATAATGCATATACCATTTTGTGATCACTACCTTTTACTAAATTAATGTCTTTAATTGAAGCTTTGTTAAGAAATTCTCACATCTCTTCTTCAATCTATATATAGTCAATTCTTGATACTACTTTATCTTTTTGCCAAGTATATTCTTTTTTGTGTAGATTTAAATATCTATATAAGTCTATCATCTCTCTACTTTTTAACTATTCAAGAAGAGTTTTCTCCAGCCCTTAATTTTTACATCCTGTGTTACTTGTATTTAATCTTGCATTACATATTGCATTAAAATCTCTGAGTATGCTTATATATATATCAATCTTGTTTCTGCATATTTTTTATACTACTATATGTTGTACCTCCTTGTTAATTTTTTTATCTGCTAGTGGCAAATATAATACTCATATCTGCATAATTGCTTTTTTAAAGAAAAACTCTAACTTTAACACATATATATTGTATTTTCTAACTATAGCTAAATGTCTTGACCAATTCTTATTAACTAGAGCTCCTACTCCTGACTCTTTTAATTTATTTACTTCTTTTGTCGACCAAAAGCTTAGATATTCAAATTTTTCTACATCTATTCATCTACCCTATTCTTCATTTATGTTCGTTTCTGCTATTCCGATAATATCTATACTCTCTTCTTTACCTAAAGCTGCTAAATTTTTTAATTTTTGCTCATTTAGCTTCAAACTATTTATATTATCGTAACTATTACCTTTACTATTACTGTTTTTCTATTTAAATTCTCATATTGTTTTTGTGTTTCGGGCTCACTTAAAGCAAAAGTGAGGATTTCTGCCATGCCTATATAACTTGATTTGCCCATAGTACCTTTCAGGAGCACGATACAATTATATGCTCTATTGTTTTGAACTTTTGTTTTATTTCTGCAAGAATTTCTTCTAACTTATTTGCTTCTTGTCTTTCAGTTTTTTTTACCCTTTCGATCAGTGATTGGCAATCTGTTTGAATCTGTTGCAAGCTCCGATTTCTGCAGTAAATTTTTATTATCTATACTAGAGAGAGGCTTTCTAGTATTATTTCTGGCACATATGCTGTCTTTTTCGCTATTTGTGAAAACTTTATTGGTATGAGTAATCTTCTTTGGGCTCTAATTTCTAATTGCTTGTTGCTTTCTTATATGGTATTTACTTTGGTGTGTATTTCTTTTTGAATATTCTTTTCTTTCTTAATTCTCTTTATTATTGAAAAGGCAAATCCCTTCATAATAGTGGTTTTCATCACACTTCATATGCAGATTATAATAATATGGATTTGTTAACTTTGTTTTTGTAAATCTAATATTGATACAAAATATATAAATGCTGCTTCTCTCTAGTTGCTGTTTCTGTTATCTGGTATATACACCATTTTTACTTTAAAATTGCTAAGTTGGCGGAGTAATATTGCTTCATATACATTATGCGGCACTTCTCTTAATATAAGTTTAAATTCATTTCTAAGCTCTAGTTTTCTTTTGTTAAATTTGCTGCTTGTTATTCTTACTGTTTTTCCCATCTCATAATGAATTGTTTAGGTATTTATAAGAAGGTGCTTTTTTTTCTCATTTGTATATTTAACTCTAACGTAAGCAGCTTTACGTTCTGCTGAGATATGCTACTCAATATCTTCTACAAACTCATATAATTTCAAACATCTCTTTATATTTCCTGATCTTGCTGATATGAGTAAGTCCCAAATAGTTAAATTCACTTTCTTGTGAATAGCCCCTTTCTTGTTGTTTTTAAGATTTACTTCTGATATAGTTTTCTGTTCAGAACTATTCTTATGTGCCTATATAGATTTATAAATATCTTCACTTCTATCTAAAGTCGTATCTTTTCCTATTTTTTATTCAGTTCTTCACTTTTTTTGACTATACCTATTTATTCTTTCACTTCTTGTATTGCTTGGTCTTCTTGTCCAAACTCAGTATAGATTAAAGTCGCTTTAGTTTCTACACCTTCTGTATTATCTTTTTTTAATATTTCAATTTCACTCTCATTAAGATTCATCTCCGCTAATATTAGTAGTACTGCTTCTTCTTTTTTTTTAGAAGTTAATTCTTCCGCATTATCTGCTATTTTACATTTTCTTTTTAAGTTTTCTTTTCAGATAGCTGGTTCTTTTTTTTTTGTATTAAGCTCCATTTTTGTTGGAGTACAAAGTATTTCTAATCTTTTCTTCTCATTAAGTTTAAGTCTTTCTTTTTTCATACTTGTTGTAACCTCATTTATTTTACCAATGATTACCTGTTCCTCAATTGACACTTTTTCATTTTGATTAGCTTTATACAAGGCCTATTTATAAATTTCTATTACATTATGAATTGTTGTTATAAATTCTGGGTCTTGATACCCAAGGTATCTTGCCACATTTCGATTTACATTTAATATAAATCTACTTTGCTCTGCCATTATTTCTTGTTGTTTACTCTGCGATGCCAAAGCAAAATCTTTAATTAGCGTTAGATCCATGTGTTCAATATTTGTATAATATATCTGTGCTATGCGTATGTTGTGTGATTATCTTTTCAAAATTTCTAGAATATGTATTTGTTTTGTTGTATATAAACACGTGTTAAGCTATTTGTTTGTTTGTATGCATGTTGTTTGTTTGTTTGTTTGTTTGATTATGTGTCTTACAATGATCTGTGATTCAGGGTCTAGATATATCCCCCAAAAAAACAGAAAAAAATTTTCAAAAGTGATTTTTTGTAAAAAATATGCCTTCAACCAAAGAAAGTTCTAATACTTGTATTGAAAACTTTGTTGTTGTTTTAACAAAATATATGTGTTTTTAGGCGCCTTTTTTTTTTACTTAGACTATTTTGTGTTGTTTCCTATACCTGAAAATGTTTTATAACTAATTTTTCTTTTTTGTTAAAATTTGGTACAAATGATTAGCGGAGAGAGTGTTACTATGAATTGCATCATTATTGCACAAATAAAAAATCATTTATATTTAGTAATCTGAATAGATTCTAAATTCAAAAAAATACTAATTATTAAAGCATATTACTGTTATTTCTTGAATGCATTAAACAGTTCTTTTGTCTGTTCTTTAAGAACTAATACTTCCTCATTAATACTAATATTACTTGAAGCCAAATGATAAACAATATGCAAAGCTTCAACATGAGAAAAAATATAAAATTGATCACGAATTGCTGAAAAAATTGCGCCATCAATATAAAAAAAAAATTTCAAAGATACATAAGAAAGAGATTTAAAATCTGAGACAGGAGTGTCAATGTATGAATGAAATGAACTATCTCATTCATACATAGCAATAATTTGAGCAACACAAAACATACTTTTAAATTTAACCATTACAAAAGACCCAATTTGTAATAAAAAAGAGCTACGTTATTGCATAAATGATTCTCTAAAAAAAACAAAAATTATATAACTAAAAAATAAATAAAACTGGTTTTTAAATATATTAAATAAAAATAAATTACCCGAATGATTTTTTTCAACTACATTATTATTATTATTTCTACTTGATTTCCATCTGTTTTCTCATGATTTAGTTAAAATAAAATCATTTTTCATCAGATGTGACACTAAACTGCTAGCCTTATTAATATTAAACCCATTTAGAAAGCTCCTTTCATTATTGTTTTTAAAAGAAAATTTAATTTGTTCAAGATTTTTTTCTGAATAAGCATCATGACGTTGGCGTAAGTTTAACAAGAATTTAATATTTAACAACTCATCATCCAAAATAAACTCAAATCTAGAACCTATAAAGATAAAATTCTAAATTATTTATATAAAAAATAAAACTTAATATTAAAAAAATTAATTATTTATCACTTGGAAACCATGGAATATCAGGTAATTTTTGAATCTGTTTTACAAGTACTTTACAAGCTTCATAAAGCTTTTCTAATGAAAGTTCAGGCTCTAGATTTAAATTAATTTCTTGGGTTCTATTTATTTCAGATATTGCATTGCTTATACAATAAGAAACAGATAAACTATTATCCATATTATATTTATTATTATTAGCTGTTTCAAGATTTAAATCTTCATTTTAAAAATCTTCAAGTTGTGAAGTAGAAATTTTCTTGTTGATATTAAAATAATAGACATCGCTAGATATAGAATTTATTTCTAAATGCCTCACTAAATGAATGGCTCTTTTATAACCAATATTAATTGTATCATCAATGTTAATATCAGAGGGCCAATAGCATAAAAATTCAAGATCATCGTCCAAAAGGTTAATTTCTTCATATTCATTAAAACTGTAATCTAGAACAAGTTAAATAAGTTTCAAATCAAATAAGTAATAATGGTATATGCACTATAAGGCTATGGCAAAAACCCATATGAGTAATTTATTTTATATTTACCCTCATGCACTGTTTTTTCTTTTCTAAATAATAAATGATCCAATTGAATAGATCTAAAATACTGACTTATTTTCGGAACTATTTGTAAAATTTCTAAAAAGGTAAAGTTGGGTCGAAACTGACAGGCAACTCCAAAAATATATTTACAAGATTCAGTGCCATGCTTCCATGGTAGTAAAGGTATATCTTCATAATAATCTTTATGAATCTTAATTAAAAGAATTAAAGATTCAACTAAACTAATCATAATATTAAAAGTTTGTATTGCTAAGAAGTTTTTTGAAACTGATACATATAAAGAATAAGAATCACTAAGAGTTTTAATATGATATCTTCATAGGTGTAAAAAAAAAGTATACTGTTATAGCTATTTCAATTCTTTCATAATGTGTAATACTGCGATTAAGATAATTATCAATAAGTTCACCTGAAATAAATCGAAACTAGTTAATTTAATACTATAATATATATTTAAATTATTAAAATCTTAAAATTAATATATACCCATAGTAAAAAGATATATGAATAAACCTCGTAGTTCAAATGATAAAGCCTTTTCTTCATCTAACACTTAAGCCAAATTGCTTGAACAAAATACCCTATATGCAGCGTTAACATCTTGACGATCCAACCTAATTACATCTCACTTATACATAATGCTTTCTTCTTTAAGAGATAATTCTAACAGATGATCAAAACGAATTATAAAATTTTCAAATATAAGTAAACAAGCACCTGACATAGCAGCATTTCTGGCTGTTTTTTTTCTATGTTTTGGATCTTGAACATGAATTACAGGCACAACTTTGGGAAATATTGGACAGTTAAAATTAATACCAAATTGAGAATTTCGGTGTTGAACCCGATATTTTGTTCTAGATACTTGTAATAAATTCTGTGCTTGAAATTTAGCAGCAGCACTATCTAACACAATAGATATTATGTGTAATTCCAAATTTGCTACAATGTCTATAAGCTTTTGATGAAGTACAAAAATTTTTTCACTATCATCACTTCTAGTTGGATTAATGCTACAATTATTGGTAGAAATTTTGGAAGAGGCACCTAGTAATTTAAAAAATCAATTTAAATAAAATATTATAATAAAATTTAAATTAATTATTGACTATTACCTGAAGAACATAAGCTCTAACATATTTTGCAACTGCATTTTCTTGCTTTATATCAGAAACCTTATTATATATATCATTATAAGTTTAAATCTTACAATAATTTTGATTTAAGGTTGATCCAACAATGCAACCCAAACTTGAAGAATACTGTAACCTGGCTTTTATTTTTGTACAATCAGTCATAGCCACAACAGGACCCTTATAGTGTAATGTATCTAAAAGCCTCTTAAAACAAACAACATTTTTATAGCAAAGATTGGGATTATTAATCACATCATCCAAAATTCTTCTATGGTGTCTATAAATAATAAAATTATTTTTAAATATAATTATACTGGTCAATAATTTTCTATGATGACATATATTTAATTTTTAAATTAAATAATGTTACTGCAAAAAATTATCAGCTTGTTAATAGATAATTAGCATGTATTAAATTATAATTACTTTATTGTTCAAATGGTTATACTTGCCAAATTCTGATGAAATAAATCTAATGCTTTTAAACTAATACTTCCCAAAATTACAAGAAAATTTAAAAGTTCATTTGAATATTTGAGGTTCTGTAAATCTTTATCTTGGTTTTCATGTTCTGTAGCTTGTAATATTATATAGCACAGTCCCTTAAAAACTGGCTTTTGCTCAAATATACCTTCAGCAGCTTTTTTAGAAAATTCTGCCCAAAATTTTTTTGATGATGAATTCTTATTATAAAGAATATTATACAATTGTTTAATGTGATTATTTTTTAAGTAAGATAGTAATGGATTATTATTATAATAAAATATATTTAATATTTTTTGGGTCAGGAGTAACTGCTCTAATACAATTCAAAAAATATGGATTATTATAAAGAAGATAACATGGAGAACATGCTTGCCAATAGGATTTTTTTTTACAATTAACAGATCAGATACACATCTCTAAGATTACAATTATAAAGCCAAATAGTTAAATTCTAAGTAGTTCTAATATAACAAAGTGC